CCCCTTTATTTTTTTTATTCCAATAGCTTATCAAAAGTAATACGGAAACAAGAAAAAATAACTATTCAGTCTTGTTTCAATATCCTTTGCATGTCACCAAAAATGACTGAAGCTACAAAGTTGGCTTTATGTTCTTGGTGTTTCAAAAATCTAAAGAATAAACAGACTTAAAAAGATGAGTACTGTAGTTCAATTTCCTATAGTTAAAATGCCACCTATCATCTAGAGAACTCTGCTGTAAGTTATGTAGATTTCTGTACATAAGGTTATATATGAGGTGTATTATATTGTAGTTTTTGTATTTGACATGACGCAATACCTATGTTGAAATCTTTTTAGGTTTCAGAAATATCAAGAAGTTAGTATGTATATTCTCATTAATATGTACTATTAGCTAAAAGGAGTGATTTATACACGTGTTTGAAATGGCCTACTAAGTATACAGGGTATAACCCTTTTCCTTATAGATTTAATGTGTACAGATAATGAAGCTGTGTTTCAAATGTATGCATGATCATGAATGTGTGGCTAGCTGAACGTTGAAACAGTAGTAATCATTGATGTCAGAATTATGGATGTGTGAAATTTCTTTTCCTTTTTTTTGCACAAGTATTTGTATTGAACATTATTTGAAAGAGAAATGTCCACTAAATAATACATTGCAGTAATACATTGCTTCATTAATTTTGCCTCTAAATTCTCCAAAAAGTCAACCTGAGATCAATCCAAAATGAATTAAATTGGGGCAAGGGGTAGAGGGGGAAGCAGGGGTTAAAAGCCCATTCTTTGGAAAACTCTTTATTAAATCCAAATCAGTCCAAAGTAAGTACTTATAAATTTATTATTTTCCCTTCAACTTTGTAGCCATCTTTCCACCTCGCATTTTGTCTACTCGACCAGGACAGAAAAGCCCAGTGAGTGTGCTTGATGAAAGTTCTAGTGACCGAGAAACAGAAGACGGCATCGCTTATACTACTGTGGATTGGAGAGAATTTATGTGCAATACTTGGCATCTGGAACCCACGCTTCGGTAATCAGCAGCCTTATCTGCAGCATTCTATTTGTCTATTTATTTGGGCAGGAAAATAGTATTACATAGAAATGATCTTCCTCAAACTGCAGGTGTTCCCAGTTCGATGCTGTTAACCTACAAGTGGGACCTAGGGTATTAAATCCATTATAGAACATGCTTTTGTTAGTAGGGAGTGATGTGATGCCACCTGCTACCGTTTATGAAATGTCATTTGATAACAAAAGATGGGTAATACCATTTTGCACGGAGTAGCCTTTAGATAAAAACATTAAATGTTACACTGTTTACACATGAAGAATATTTGAGGTGTGCAACTCATTAGAGATCACTTACATATCATTTACCATTTTTCCCACTATCCCCCATATAACCTTTTTGTTTTTTTAACCTGGATGTTTTGTGTCTCATGTCAGTGTAAGGGGGACTTTTCTCTTGAAATTACAAATTTTTGGTCAAGAAACTTGTTGTTTTTATGAACTGCCTGGCACACTTTGGATTTGGGTAACATCAGTCTCATTATTTTTGTAATTAAAAATATGAAGTTTTTATGGAGCATTGATAGTGATTTTTTTTTTTAGTATCCACTAGTTAAGAGTTCCTCCTTTTTCTGTTTTATAACGTGTAAAATTCCATGTTATTATATAGGAAGGAACAATGTTCTCCCCCCCCTCCATTTTCATAATGAGAATGCAAGTTAACTATTAAGTATGCCTTATTTATTGTTATACAATGAATGTAGTGGTTGTTAAAGTTACCATCCAATAGATGAGTAGCATGTATAACAGACATCCCTCTGCTGTTAATATGCAACCTGGCTCTGGCCAACAGGAGTCACTTCTCAGAAGGTGGGTCAGAGGTGTGATAGGATAATTCCCATGTTTGCTTCTGTTCATGGTCTCCGTTGAAACTGGTAACAAGTACTAAAGTAGAAGCATAACTGGGCCATGTATGGCAACCAGCTACCAGCTATGGCTATTTTTGTGCTCCCTCACCCCCAATTATACTACTGTATTTAAATGTAAACTTTATACTTTATTCTGCTGTATGAATGTTTCCTTGCAAAGGAATGGGTTGAACAAGAAACCTCAGTTTACCTAAGCCAGAAAAAAAACAACCCGAGTAAGAAGTTTTTGGATACCAGTATGTGCCAAACAAGCTGAGGATCCAGAGGCTACATATGACATTCCTGATCTCCTAAATCACCATATTCCTCCAAAAGCTGTTAATAAATGAGCGGTGACTGAAAAGAATAATATTGGAATTTTAGTGTTGCTTAACATATGATTATTCAAATATTTGTTTGCTCAAGACTTAAGCCTAATTATATATAGTTAAGAGTCTGCTTCTTTATATTTTAGATTAATCTCTTGGACTGGAAGGAAGATTGACCCAGTAGGTGTTGATTACATTCTTCAGAAGTTGGGCTTTCATCATGCTAGGACTACTATTCCTAAGTGGCTTCAGCGTGGGGTAATGGACCCCTTGGACAAAGTTCTCTCTGTTCTTATCAAAAAACTTGGTACTGCACTACAGGACGAAAAGGAAAAGAAAGGAAAGGACAAAGAAGAATACTAAAACCATAATTTAATGTGACAAAAAACATTTTATTTCCGTTCAATTACACTGAAGTGTTTTACTGTATAATAAAAAAATTTTAAGTATGATTTAAAGAGAAATCTAATGGCTTTTTGCTGTTATATTTAAAACTTACATTGTGAGTAACTGTTTACTGTGGTACATGATACCATTCTTTATTTAGAAAAGTATTGCATGATTATGACCAATGTATATTCTGTGAAAGAATAGGTGAATACTGTAAATCTGCTCTTTAGCATTCACACTATTATGTGCAATATGATTCCTGCATTCTTAAAATACTGCAGACTATTAACTGTGAATTTTCATGAATTTTATTGGCCATATCACCTAAAACCCCCTTGTTGATAATGTGATTCTGTTAATGGCTTTTTTGGTCCATGTAGACTTGTATGAATTCTTTTATGTATATAATTTATGGAACTGTGCTTGCCATAGTGCTAAAAATAATTTTCAGTTTGTTTAAAATTGTAATAAAACTAACGGTTGTACAAGTCTTCAGCTTCTTTCAAGGTACGGAAGTAGGCAGCATGTGAATGCTGTGCATATACCTGTCCCATATGTTAAGCATAGTACACAAATTTACAGAAACCCCTTTTAATTTGCACTAGTCCCTGGTGCCCTCAGAGGCAGTGTGAGGACTATTGGCTGCAGAATAAGGCAATAGCTTTAGAAAACTGACCCAAATGGTATACCCAAAACGTCCCAAGAATCTGTTCTAGTAACCTGTGTCGTCTCATAGTCTGCCTGCCTGCCTGGGCAGGCTGTGAAAGCCAGAACTTCCAGAAACTCCTGTCCAAGGCCATGTAGACAAAACGAGAGCCCACGCACGCTAAATGCTTTCGCGCCGCTTTAATGGTGTTGGTGTTTGCGTGACTCAGCGGCATACTGCGCATTAATTCCAGCTGCTTTAGGCAATTCGGTGGCGTAATGCATTTTAAATGACTTGGGGCGCAGCCGTGGAGCAAAGCACCAGGCTCCGTGCAGCTCGGTGCCTCTGCAGGAAGCCTTGCAGGCAGCCTGGCAGCAGACTGGGAAAGCAGGTGGTGAGTCCCAGGCACCAGCCCCCTTCCCCCTCCCCAGAGCCTGCCTGTTGAATTGCAGGGGTAGCCAGTACTCCCCTCTGCAGCTGCAGTGCCCCCTGGGACTGCCTGAGCCAGGTGCCTGTGGGTGGGTGCCACCTTAGGGGAGGTGCCTGCCGCTACCATGGAAGAAAGCACTAGCTTCCCCTGCAGCCCATGCCTCTGCCTGCCAGCAGCTTGCCCTTCCCTCCCTGCTGGAGGTGCAGGTAAGGTGCACAACACAGGGGTTTAATCAGGCCTAAACTGAAGCTGTGTTTTTTAAAACCCACCACTTCAGTTTAGGGCCCCCTGTTTTGTATACACCTGCCCCTTGAAAATTAACCACCCTTCATGCCCCAGACTGGACATTTGCCTCCCCTGGAGGAGGTTTGGCACCATGTAAAGTTGCTTGGGTGGTGTTGGTCAGCAGGTGAAGAGTGCCTTTGGCTTGAATGTTGCAAATTGATTTTAAAGCCTGCATGTGCCCTCTGTGCCAGGCCCTGGATGGCAGGACAAACGGCTCTGTTCTCTCTCTAGGCTTTAATACCAGGTTCCTCAATCTGGCAAGAACTCCCACCCAGACACCCAGGGAAATGCTTCAAAACTGCTGAGCTCAACCTTTTGCCCCCTAGGCCAGGAGCATAGCATGGAGCTGGTCTGCGGCAGGGATTGAGCTGCAAGTGCTAGGAGCAAACCTGTCCCAGTGTGTCAGGATGGGGCCCTCAGTGCCTGAGACTGCATCCCCTGGCCCTGTGCACTGGCATGGGGAATGTGTGCAGCTCCCAGCAGCTGGGACTCCTCTGGGGTCTTAATATTTGGGGGAGGGGGTTCCCCACCACCGAGTTTCCTAACCTGGGGCAAGCCCCGTGGGCCACATGCCAGAGGGACCAGAGATGCAGCCTATGGGGGTGGGGTGGGACCCTAAGGGTCTGAGCTAGGTGGCTTTCATTCAGTCGGTGTTGAGCGCAGGCCGGGGCTTGCTCCCTTCAGCCCTGCCTTTGGCCTGTGCGGGTGGGGGGGGGGCTCGAGCCGCACGCAGGAAGCCGGTTGAAAGTCTGAACCGGGCGGTTGCGGCCGCCTTGCCACGGGGCCCCGCGCCAGTCCCGGCCGCCAGTGTAACCTCCATCACCTGCCGCCAAAGGCTGCAGCGCCCCACGCGCCTCTAACTTGCGCGCGCCGCCAACACGTGACACCTTTCCGCCCCGCGGAGCCCTAGCAGCGGTTGGCTGGAATGGGGGGTCACGTGGCTTGGGGGCGGGGCTTCTCCGGAGACTCCCTCGCGCCTTGAGCCCGCAGGCAGGTGGGAGCGAGGCTTTCGCGGGCGGTGGTAACGTTAGCTGGCCGTTGGCGCGCGGCGCGATGGGCAGCAGCGGCGGCGATGCGTGGCCGCGCGGATCGGGCGTGCCCAGCTTCGCCCAGATGCTGAAGAGGAACCTGCCTGGGCCGCCGTCCTCGCGCCTGCCAGCTCCGGCGCTGGGGTTGGGGCTGGGGACGGGCCCGGGCCTGCTGTGGGCGCCGCTGGAGCCCGAGGCCAATCTGGCCTCCCGCGTGACGCCGCTCACAGGTGGTGGCTGCGGCCGCGCCCTTGGGCTCGCGCCTATGGGGTCGGAAAGGGTCCGAGCGAGCCGTCGCGCTGTTCCTCAGTCGAGCCAAGGGCGCGAGTTGCAAATCATGGCTCTGGTCCTGCCTCGGAGCTTGGATCAGATGCCCTGTTGGGCAGTGGGAGGGCATCCAGGCCTGCTTCTCTGGGGAGTCTAGGCAGCCTGCTTCAAAAGCTGCTGTTGAAGGAAGAGGGGCAAGGTTTGCTCCCGTGTGCACATTCACCTTGCTCATTGGCTCTGCCTCTTGGTGCCTCCTCTCACCTGCTTGAAGGCACCTCACAGGGAGACCTTGAGCCAATATTGCCAGTCCCTGCAGAATCCAGTCTGAAATGGTCCCTGTGCTGCAGCCCTGGCTGAAATTGCCTGTGGCTGAGGGGAGGTAGAAGCTACCTAGTTCTTTTGTGAGCTGGGTGCCAGGTGTTGCTTCGTTTTCACACCCGGCAGAACAGGTTTTGACTGTTGAAGTCCTAAATACTGCCATTCTCGTTTTCCTGTAGTGTAGAAATGTGCATCTTCTTTGGGGCCTGTATAGATATCCAGAGAGTTTGGGGGTTTTTTTTGTCTTTGGGGACAAATCCAGATAGCTTTAAAAAGAAAAAGGCAAGAGCTATTCAGTCTTGCTGTACCTCTTTAAAGCCTTTCTGATAAATAATTCCAATTGCCTAGTATGCCATAGAAAATGAGGGTTGGAAGGGACCATGGGTTGCGACCTAAAAATGGGTTGCAAGAATATATAAAAGGTCACAAACAAACTTTAAAAATTGATTCTCCTTTCAAGGGGGGAAAACATGGGAAACTGTGGCTTTTCCCTTGCAGGCTGGCAGAATTGCAGCCTGCAAGGGGCTGCTTGGGGACTCCTGTGCAGGACCAGGGTGTTGTTTTCTACTTAAAACTATTTACTGGGTCAAGGCTGGACATGGCTGTTTACAAATGGGTCCTGATCCAAAAAAGGTTGAGAACCACTGACCTACTCCAGCCCCCTGCCTGCTCAAAGCAGGACCATCACCAATTGTATCACCCCAGCCGAAGCTTTTCTTACCTGGGTCTTCAGGTAGGCGTTGTTGAGGCAGTGTCATTATTCCTTATGTCACATCTTTCAGGTTGCACTCTAAAAACTTCTTTAATTTTCCAATGCAATGATTTTTTTGTTGTTTAAATTAACCCTATGTTTTTTAGGTCAAATTCAAGAAAACCTGTACTTCAAAGGAGCCCAGCCAGCTCCAAACACATTGCTCCCTCCAAAGAAAATACCAAAGGAGTTTATTGTAAAATATAAACGTGGAGAGATAAATCCAGTGTCTGCCTTGCATCAGTTTGCGCAAATGCAGCGTGTACAGCTTGATCTGAAGGAAACTGTGGCAACAGGTAAATGTTTCTGTTTTTATAAGGAGATGTTTTTCTTTGCAACTGCAGGTGCTATATGTTTGTGGTTGATGTTAGTGGCATTGCAGAAATTAATGTGTAAATAGTAGTGATTGCAATACTTTTTCCTTGCCGTTAATAGATATTTTACTGTGCCTTCACAAATTGTTCATGGATTTCATGAGCATTTAACTTCCTTGTTAATTTAATTTGAGCTAAACTAATGGGATAAAATAAAGCATAAGTTGTTTTTTTAATGTTTTCAAATGTTCTTTTTAAGCAAGTGGTGTCCTTCATTAGCACTCAACTGTATTGTGCTTAGAGTTGTAATGTGTGTCAAAATTTGAGTCTGTTAATGTTCTGCCTCCTCAGACAACTCCACTTTCACTGGGTATGTCTAGTTATGTCTGTAATATAAATCTTGTGCAGCTGTGTCCTTTGGAGCAACACTGAATGATAATTGGGCACAGTTGCCTATGCTTGTAAATGCATGTTCTAGTTGCAGTTGGTATTCTGCCATGTTTCTGTTACGCTGCCATGTTCTGTTGCACATCCTGCAGCAGCAGTTCAAGTCTTCCCATGTTACCCAGGCTTATTGTATTACTGTACATATATTTCAGTTCTTACTGTCTACACCCCAGCTGTCTACACCCTAGCTGAAGTGTGCAGGTTGCAAGACTACTTCTCCAGTATTGCAAGAGATTGATCCCAGGCTTATTATCCAGATTTTCTTTATTAGATGCAACACTTGCACATCAATTGGGAAGAGTGAACGCTTGAGAGACTAAAAGTTTTTAAATCTTGTTAAGATAATTAGGGAGAGCTGCATTGGAATGTGGTTTTTGCTGAGCTGTATGTTGGGCATAAAAAGCTCTGCAAGAAACACAATAACACAGTGAAATATCCCAAATACAAGTCTGTTTCCCTTTCATTTCAGGATTTACTTACTTCCACTACATTTTAACAAGTTCTATGGCTGAGATTACACATTCAAGTTAGAAAGTGCTAATTCTAAGAAACCTTTGTGTGTTAGTGTTCAGAAATATGTTCTGGGTTAATGCCTTTTGATGTGCACTGTGCTGCTTGTATCAGTCTTGCCCTTCCTTCCCCCCCAGTCTGACCACCCCCTCCATCTTCTCCTGTTGGCCCCTCCATCCCCTGATTGCTGCCCTGCCATCCCAGTCAACCCAAAAACAATAGAAGCAGCAGTGGAGAGGAAGGGTTTCCCCTCCCTGCCTGTTCCTGGGGTCCCTGCAGCCTGTGCTGCCCCTGAGCACCTGGATTCATCCTGCACTGGGCATTGCAGTTGATCTAATTGTAATGTGTAATTTCACCCCAAGATGTAATAAGAATGTGATCCAGTAACATGGAGAAACTTTTTATAAAGTTACTGAAGTTTAACTTATTTGCCAAAAAGCATATTTTATATGTTGACATCAGTATTATAACTTGAGTGTGAGCAAAACCAAAATGTGCAAGAATTAGAAAATCAGTGCACTGATGTTAGCTACTGCTGTTGAGACCCTGAGCCCCCAGTACCCATGTACCTCTCTATGTGGTATCCCAGTCCTGGTAGGAGCACTCCTTGAGAATGATGGTGTAGCAGGTAGAAGAATGCTCACTGACATCAACTCTGTTTCCTTTACTTTGCCTGAGAGACCAGGGCCTGTTGGGATGCGCTGAAAGTCCACTCTGTTTCCTTTCTCCCCTCCCACTCTCCAGCCCCACTTACCCATACTGCAGCAGTGGGTTACAGAGCTTTAGGTTACTACAGCCTCTCATGGTACCCCCTTCCCAGCTGGAGAGATGTTATTGCTGGAGAACCAGGGAGCCTAACAAAGAACTGTATCACTGTCCATCACTGAAATGTTCCAGTTTGAAAGGCTTCAAAGTGTACTTGCAATTTCCAATGTTACGTCTGTCTCCACCCAAAGCTGTCCAATTACACTTGTTCTATAATATTTGCATTCAACAGTGCATTTTATGTAAATACACTAGCTACATTTTTGTTGCAGTATTTTTCAGTGAAGTGGGTGGTTCGTCCCTAGGAAAAGACTTTAGAATCATGGAAAAATAGGGTCGGCATCAGCTCTGTATCTCAAGGCGGGATCATACTTACCAAAACCATCCTATGCAAATGTCTGTCTAGCCTACTCCAAACAGAACTACACAACCAGCCTTCTTATGCAACCGCCAGGCATAAAGTCCGGAAACAAGAACACCCTACCTTGCCACATGTCAAGTAGGGGTACATGGGCCTTGTCAGTGTCCTGTGACTACAGGGACAGGAGGTAGCATGTAAAAATACACTCGACAGATTTAAGGAAGAGGATGATAAAGACTTTGCTCCTTGCTTCAAAGCCAAAACTCCCTACAGTCTCTGCTAATGGGACCCTAGGGCAGAGGTGGGCAGTCTGGTCTGCGAGCCGGCTCAGGCCTGTGGCATACTCTATTTCCCAATAGTCCCTGGAGTGACAGCTCCTTTTGGCTGCTGCTACTGGACCCAACCTGCTCACCCTCCATGGGCAGAGCATGTAGCTAGGATGGGCCTGTGGCTGGGAGCGGGAGATGCAGTCAGGCTTGGGGAGCCCCAGGATCTTGCATTGGTGATGGAGCTGGGGAAAGCCATGATCCACTGCCCACATGACCCTAGGAGTGTGGGTTCCTCAGGTAGGGGTGTGTAGGGAGCAGATAGCAGCTTTGTCCCAGCTCTGGCCCAACGCTGCCACCACCGCAAGATTCCAGCCCTGGCTCCAGAGCAGCTCCCTGTCCTGCCTGCGCTGCTCCCTGCTGGTGTCAATAGAAACCCTGGGAGCATGGGGTCATGACACCTTGGGGCCAGGGCTGGATGGGGTAAAATTCCTTTCTTATCCCAAATATGGCCATTGATCTAACTCTTAGTGTAAGAGCAAGGCTGTCTACCTAGAACGCCTGGGCTTAAGTCCCAGCAGAAACACCACCACATTCCAGTCAAAATCCCTAGCCTTGGAATGTTTCCTTGCATTATTGACTTAGTCATTAGGGGCATGTCCCCACAAGCAGGAATTTGCGTTTCGCGGGGGACAAGGAGCAGCAGCACAACGTGTGCTGCTGCTTTTCCTCAGGGAATCCCTGTGCACGTGCACTCTGGCATGTGACACATTGCCCTGGGTGGGGAACGGGAGGCTGGGGTCAGCACTGAGGCTGATCCCAGCAACCTTACTTGAGGGCCTCTGGGGGCTGCAGCTGCGGCAATCCTGCAGCAGGGAGCCTGGCTGACAGATGGATCATGGCTCTGGTTGGCCAGGCTCCAGTTCTGGGCAGTCCATGCTGCCACGATATGTAACACATTGTTTTTTTTAAGCATGGGGCTTTTTGACACCGGAATCTCCCGGTGTCAAATATCCCTCCTGTGCTGCAAATTAGCAGCATGTGGAATACCTGCATGTGTGGCGTGCTGTGCCTCAGGTGGATCTGCAGCGCCGCATACCACATGTGTGCTTGCCTGGATATGCCCTAGTTGGTCTTTAAAGCCAATACGGACCATGCATCTTGTGCATACACCAATCTGACCTCTAAGGTTGTAAGACAAAGGGGCATGTGGCTGAGGAAGTCTTGCTGATGCTTGTAGTCCTACCAGTCCTTTTCTACATTGTTAAGGCATTCTTGACTCATCAGGGACTGCTTGGTTGACTGTCCTAATTTCCTGATAACAAAGATTCCTTGCACACTTAAGATGATAATTAATGTATTTTGGCAGTGCAAATGGTATTTCACTTTACATTGTTTATGTGGTCAGATCTTGTGAAGAATCATAGCTCTTGGCCCAGATCAAGTGTAGTCCCTGTTCTTATCAGCTGCATTTGAAGGTGGAGGGATGCAGTTCCCAATTTCCTTCTCGCTGAACAGAGTGGAGCATAAGGAGTAGCCATCCTGTACTGGTATGCACTGCCACCAAAACTTGAAATACACTTCCTTAAGGATCTTTGCTGATTATAGATATGAAGGTGAGATTTTGAAATCAGCCTTTACAATATGCATGGTTAGCTCGTGATATCTTGTGTTTGTACTACCATAAAATCTAAGGTTGTGCAAAAAGTGGTCACCATATTGCCTGAAAAGTCAGTTAATAAGCCTGAATTATTGTGGTATAAGGCATACCAATGTTTAGCTTGGTTTTTCTTGAACCAAACTCAGATTTCCACTTTCTGGGCATCTGTTAGTCCTAAAATTTGTGTGAATATGGGTGTGTACTGACGAATAACTTCTGAAAATTTGTGTATGAAAACGTACTTGTGGAATAAGCCAGTCCCTGTACTCTAAAGTCTTCTATAGTTACATCAGTTCACAGTACAGCTTCACCAACAAATAGAACCAATATTGTTGCTATCCCAGTATTGATGACATATTTATCTCTGCCCAACAGTTTTGCAGTTCATGGACTAGGATTAGCATGCATCTGGTGGTGGTTCTTTCTGGTTCTTTTGTCATATGCATTTGAGTGTAAAGTGTCTATCCACTTGTCAGATGGTAATTTTGATGCTTTATGTTAAAGACCATATCAAAGACTTTTCTCTGCACTGCAGCTGTGCGTTTCTTTTGAGTTTCAGCCTACCAGTCTTCATAAACGTATATATTGAGTATAGATTTAACTTCTTCCATTTCTTACATTGGTTGGTGCAATTATGGCTAAACCCCCCCTGGACCAGATCTGACCCCCAAAGACATTGGATCCGGCCTGCAATCCAATCCATGGTTTACTATAGGAGAATTGATTCCCTGTTACAGCCTAGTTGGCAGATCCAGCCCAGGTTCTGTGTTCTGCGTTTTACGAAGAGCCAGCTAATCCACTTGCTGATGGCTTCTGCAGAGGGCTTCATGTAATCCTGGCTCCAGCATAGTAGCCTCTGCTCACTGAATTAGCCACCGTAAATTATCCTTAGCCACACCTTTCAGAGGAGGCTTAACTGATGGGGCGGAGATCAACCCCTCTGCACAGAGCAGGAACTGGGTTTCAGCAGGGGATTGGCAGCTCACAGAACAATCTAGGATGCAGGGGGTGGCCCACTGTTAGTAAAATATTGCCAACCTCTCGTTTAGATCTCAGTTTCAGGTTAGGGATATGTACTCTTTGCCAAGTTATAACTGGGGTTGGGTGGAATGTGTTTGCCATTGGTGCAGGATCACTTATGTGTAGGGGTCCACCCAACTCGAGGAGGCAGTTGGCTGATCTCGCAGGGAGATCACAAATGCCAACTGCCATTTTCACAGGCTAATTGTGGCAGGGGCCCCCCATGCCTCTGATTGGCTATGGGGCCCTGCTGGCCACACCCCTTACTGCTGATTTGCTGGAGGGGCTGTTCATCATGCAGCCCAGCCTTTGCTGCGAATTAGTCGAGGGGAAGAGCCACGCAACAGGCAGCCCTGTCAGCCAATCAGGGATAGGGGTGGCAGCCATCTTGGACTCCCCTTCATGGTGGTACCCTACTTCTTCCCCCTGGCAGGCTGCATGGCCAGGCCACAGCCTTGAGGGCTGCTGGCTCCCTCTGGAGAGCCAGCATTTTACTTTCAGTAAGTTTTTTTTTTTTTTTGCAAGCATTGCCTGATTTCTCATGCAATGCTAGATTTTGCAATTTCTGTGAAATTGCAGTTTTCTATAGGTCACTATTTATATTGATTGGTCATTAGTAACTGACCATAAACTTTCAGGGAACCAGCTGTGAGGCCATTTGTTCCAGATAAACCAGTGCTTATTTTGTGGTCAGGTATATCAGGCTTCATTATTGTATAGCAGGGTTCATTATCTGTTGCCCATCTTGAATGTGATTTACAGTTGAGTCTTTATATAGGACATATTTCTTGGCAAAATCTGCAGCATTTCTAATCCGTAGGATTGGACTACCTGGTATTACAGATGCTGATGTCTTCATTGGAATGATTGCACTTTGCATATTCCTGATACACACTTACATGGGCTCTTGCCTTTCCATGATGTCTGGATTTTACCTAGTATCATGTATTAGGTGTAGTAGGTTTTGGGCCACACATCTATTTGTAATTATGCAAGTTACTTTTCTGTATTTGGCATCTTACAGGATCTTTCTCATGGCTATTGCTTATTCTATGCAATTCTTATTCATCTGTTTCTCTTCTGTACCTGCACATCTTTTCTAATTTTGTTTGGCAAAAAAGTTAGATAGGCTCTAAGAAGCTGGCATAGATCTCCTTACTGTTGTTGCTGCTACTACTACTACTACTACTTTTTGGACTTGTTTACCTGGTCCAGGATTTACCTACATGTATAATTACTGCAAGTGGCATGAATTAGTACTTCATCGATCTGCTGCTGTTCTATTTTTAAAAAATCATCACCTCTATCTCAGTTCTAAGTTGGTTACAATTCGGGAAAGAAAATGGTTTTGGTTGCTTACAGACCTGGGGGGGAAAAAAAACTCCTCAGTGCTTTTCTTTTAGCTTGGCATGCCCCTACACTTAATGCAGAAAATACCCAAAAGAGGCATTGCGTCAGTTTGACCCAGTTCGTCCAACGTCTGTATAGATCATACACTTTAGTGGGGCTTTTTAATAATTTTATCACTGATTCAATCAGCTATTAAATTAAGCCATCAAAAAGCCCCACTGAAGTGTACAATCTATACAGATGCTGAGGAGCTGGGTCAAACTGACGCACTTCTAGTAAAGTGTTATTTTGGGGGGCTTTTTTGCAGGTTTTTTTTTTTTCCACGTCTGTCAGCAGTGTTTAAGTGTTATAGGAAAAAATACTGTTTCCATTGTTTAATTCATTGGTATATGGATTCATTTTTGGCAGTCGTATATTTCTGGTTCATTTTAATGGTTTGTTTATTTAAACATCAGAGGGTTTAAAGATCAAAATTCAACTTGTAACATTATTAAAATCAAAAGGTTCAAATTAGTGGTAGAAAAAATTTTTTGAGCCTTGAACAAAAATTGCTTTTTAGACTCTATATTGAGATTTGATTTTGAGATTTATGCCTGTTCTTGTCTAACAAGCTTACCTGGCAGAATCGGATTTCTCAACATGCATCATGGGAAACGTAACCGTTGAAAAGTCTCATCTTCATTTGGCTATCTGTCTATCTGCCAAACGTAATATAAATTATGAAAGAAAACTAAAGAAAAGATTAGTAATTAAGACTGAAGTTTTCAGCCACAGATTTCTTAGTGATTTGGGCTAAGATGTAACAAGTTTAATATATTTAAGCTGCATTTTTGAAAGTGACTTGGAACTCTTTAGCATTAGCCTTCATGGGTGCATGCATACATAATCAACCAGCTCAACCAAGCCAGCTTAATTAAGTTAAGCCATGTTGGAGTGTACACATGTACAGCTCCTTGACATGGTGGCAGCCATCTTGTGAGCTAGGTCTACTTAACTAATGCAGCTCAAGATAATATACCTCCAAGGTGCATTAACTTGCGCCACATTTAAGCTGACTCTGCTTCCCATTTATGTGCATGCTTTGACAGTTAAGTTGGCGTAAAAAAAGCTAAGCTGGTTTAACTGTCAGAAAGTTAGTATGTGTGTATGTCTAATTAAAGTTGATGGCATTTAAATGTCTAAATCAGTTTTAAAAATAGACATTTAAGTTGAGCTGTTTTTAAAACTGTTCCTTATAATTTAACTTCTGAAAAGTCTGTCCTAAACTTCATGCCATTCCTGAAAATAGGAAAACAACCTGATTTTGTGAAAGTGTTGAGAACCTGCCGAATCCTCTGACATGAAAGATGATATGATAAAGTAGTTTTAGCAACAAAAAATCAGATTTTTTTGTTAGGGTATGTAAAACTACTGGAGGACCTTGATGAAGAGAATAGCAAAAGTGAAAAGTATAATATAAATAAAATCCTAAAGCTCTGCTGGTCATAAAGTTTTATTTTTGTGCTGTTAGAGTTATTTTTGTTTTGGAATCATCTTGTTTTCCATGGTGACAGATGTATAAAGCTAATAAATAACTATGTTTTTAATTAAAATTAGTTAAAACGTAACATCTAATTGTATGATTTTTTTCCCCCCTCCAAGGCAATATCTTGGGGAGTTACTTTGCTTTTTGTGCTGTGATAGATGGGGTTCAGTATAAGACTGGCTTAGGGCAAAGCAAAAAGGAATCCAAATCAAATGCAGCAAAACTGGCTCTTGATGAACTATTGCAGTTGGAGGACACAGAACCAAAGGTTCTTGACAACTCAGGTAAATATTCTGGTATCATTAATAGATTTTTTTTTTAAAGGTTATAGGAAGACATTTGTAGAAA